GAGTGCAGACTTCTTGGTGGACCTATAATTTGCTATTTCATTTTATAATCTCAGAATTATTTGTCTAGTTGTGTTAAAGAATTCAAAAGCTGTGACCTCTTCAACAACTTCATAAGAGCCAATATTGGTTTAAGAATATTTAGTGTCTATTAAGGTGTAACAAATTTATCCAGACCGCATAAATTAATAGATTTGACGAGAAACTAAACCTCTTCAAATTTGATAAGCAGTGAGATCGATAGATCATCAAATTTTAGTAATTAAAAAACTCAATAAGAAAATTTGGAAAAACAATTACGAGAATAGGCATAGAAGAAAATGTTAGACCAAGGTCATTAATATTTGACTCGCACATGTTTGGCAAAGGAGATAAACTTTCTTATCATTGTATGTTAAATTATGGTGCTCAGAAAGGGATTCTCAATACGAAAGGTAAGGAATTTGAGTGCAGCAACTTCTACTGTAACTCTAATACAGGAACAAAAAATTCACTCATAACCCAGAATATTTATATATAGAAATCTTGTCGTGCAAGACTAATTATGACGTAAATTGCACTAGCTTTCACTATGACTTTTCAATTACTTTATTTGTTGTAACAAAGAGTGAAAATTATAGAATAGGCATGTTTATATTCTTAGCAAGGAATATTTATCTTTGTAAAGTTATTTTCAACAAGGAGTAGTGTCTATATTCATATAATCTATTTTGAAAGCTTTCATTATAACCTTTCAACGTTGTAGCAAAAAGTGGAAATAATATAATATAGTGTTAACATTAGACATTGGAATCTCCATTAGGTGAGTATGAGATTGAATAATAAGTTTTGATGATGAAACAAACAGAAATAAGTTAATATACTTGTTCCAGATAAGTTTACACTTATTAGAAACTATATCTTAGAAAAAAATCTGGACATAGAAAAGGGTTTGTCAAGTATTGCACTTCATTAGATATATGAATATAATCATTAGATGATCAGGAATGTGTTCACATACTTATTGTGAATATATATATATATATATATATATATATATATATATATATATATATATATATATATATATATATATATATATATATATATATATATTGTTCAACTAAGGTGTGTTCAATGAGTTTAAAAACATGTTAATTCTTGAAAAAAAGAAACAAACATATAAAAAAGCAAGGCCTAAAAAAGCTCTATATTTAAAGAACTCGGTAGATGAGTTCAAGGCTAGATCAGACCAAGCCATCAAATAACTCAGGTTCTATACAAGTGTTAGACGACTTGAGACAACATGTCAAAATATAATAACCAAACTACTCAAACAATGTGAGAGCAAAATGAAGTAGCAAACGACTACATTTACTAGACGAGTCAACCTAAAGTAATAAAAACTCGATTTCTACAAATAAGTATATGAGTCAAAGTAAACGATAAATGAGTCAAAGCAAGCAAGCAGAAAAGAAAAGAAGCATTAGGCGAGTCAGGAACATTCAAATTAGTTAACATAATATATTAGAAAAGTCAAAGCAAAGGCCACACATAAGATACTAGCCGAGTATTTATTGAACGAGTCAAAGTCAATTCATGAAGCGTGACATTGAAACACCTATTAGACGAGTACTTCCATTAGACGACCTAATTGGAAGAGTGACTGGATGAATCAAAAGTCAAGGCACATAACTAATATCAAATTAATCAAGCAAATTAAGTTTAGAAAGGTATGAAAGAAATACATTCAACCACAAGGTGATCAGGATCAATTTCAAATTGATCAAACAAATATGAACTTTGAAATTGATTGTCAAAATGATCAAGTCAATAAGGAAGATATCACATGAGTAATATTATGCAGCAAGGCTGGACATATTTTAGAGATATTCTGATTGAATAAATGAATATGGAAACAAAGGATACTGAAGATACATTTGAAGAATATCCAAAACGATTCATATATCAAATTATCCAAACAAGGAAATATTTTGAATTCCTCTCTAATTGATTATTCTAAATATTGTCATATGAATATCAATCAATCATGACATGAGAAAATGACTCTTCAAATAAAAGATTGCAAGATAATCTCCAACCTATTAAAGCCTCAAGGTTGCAATGTTTGAAATTCAAATTGTTAAAAGAAAGAAAATAACTGATAATCAATTTGATTGATTATCAAGAACTTCCAAAGTGAAGAATTACAAAAAAAATATTTGAAGATATCTAATGATAGGAAGATATTTTGTATCAATAGTCAAATGATACAAGCACAACTATCACTAGTACAAAAATCGCGTACAACGTCAAATATTTTGGGCTTTTAACAGCGAAATCACGAACGACGTCATATTAGGAGACGTTAAATTGACGTCAAATTTAAAATATTTGACGTTAAATTAACATCGAATTTTCTCAATATACGACGTTAACGTTAACGTCGAATTTTGTCAATATTCGACGTTAATCAATTTTTTTTTAATTAATTGTGATCCTTTTTTACAAATCTACGAAACCTGAAAACCAGAAAAATAACAAATTTCAGTTTTTGGTATTTTATAAAGTATGAACTATTAACGTGTAGTGTAGTATCAACAACAAACAATAATAACCAACAACAAAGAAGTTCAATCAAACAACAACAAACAAGTTCAACCAAACAACAACAACAAACAAGTTCAACAAAAAAAAACAACAAACAAGTTCAAAACATAAGTTCTTCAAAACAAAAACGAAAACTAACCTTCAAAAGGTGGGTTCATCGGAATAAAGTTTCGTCACCAGTAAGAGAGAAAGCAGAATGCGCCTATGAAGGACAAGAGCACGAAAATAATCGGTTAAAACAAACAAAAATCATATATAAAGTAGTTAATTAACATACATTTGTATCAAATGAAAGAAAGATTACATATGATGCTCGTCAAACTTCGTTCGAGAAAAGTGTGAGAAGAGAAGAGGATATCACGCGCTAAGATAAAGTGAATGAATTTTCAATCTTCCGCTCAAATTTTTATTGAATTCACTAACCTTTTGACGTCGAATTTAAAGGTCATTCAACGCTTTATATCCTTTTACGTCGAATTACAATTCTAAACGACATTTAATAATTGCATTTATTTATGAAAATGCCACCGCTCATTTTTAACGTTGGTTATTCCGTGGTTGGACGTTGAACGCGTGACGTTATACGATGTTTTTGTACTAGTGTATATATATATA